GCAACAGAAGTTTGTCCCTTGCCTCCCTTGTCAGCCGCATCAAATATGGCCTCGTTAAAGCACAGTCTTTCTTCGATAAGTTTTTGCGTTAATTGTCGTATTTGCTGTGTTGATTTCTCATCCATCTTTGACTCTGTTATTGGCGCTACATCGAGGTTATGCTCGGGAATTGTCTGTAACACTTCGGTCATTTGTCCAAGCGCCATTTTATAGTGAGCCGTTGCTCGCTCCATTTCTATCTTCAAAGCCTCGTGAAGTTTCATGCAGTACTTTGTAGCAGATCGGCTAACTAGCTCAACTAAGGTATGCTGCGTGAAGTCCTTGATAGTCTTTGTAAGAAGTTGTACTCTACGCAACAAGGCTTCGCCCAATTTTTCATCATTTTTCACGCAGATTGATAGAATCTTTCGGATATGTTCTCTCGATCGAGCRCTTGCGAATGTTTCATTGTTGAACTTTAAGAGTTCCGAGAAATACCGGACAAGATGATGAACAAAGTCATCSCCATTGAGKASCTTCTTTGGAAAGCGTCCATTGCAGTCGGCATGTAGTTTACTGAAGAGAGAAGCCATTGGCGCAAGACTGCTTGGTATATCACGATATAATCCATCAAGAGATAGTTTACCTAATATCAACACCAATACATCACCAGGTACTTGTTCAAATATACTCGAAAGATCATCGTAATCTTTCCTCTCGATTCGTAGATTTATTTTCCCGATAACCTTGAGAACAAGTAGACGGCCATCAGCAAGACGTTCTTGTTGTCCTGAGGCCATTCCCTGGTCAACGCTGTGTCTGGTTTGACGTGGCTTAACCGAGGTAACAGCTGGGATAGACGATGAACGGTTTGTTCGTTTGGAACCAATATCGATTACTTGATTGTCAGCCATCATTTCAGTTTGAAGTGTGTCATCTGTCACGTGAAAAAGAGCTGCTCATATTGTTCTAATGGGCTGCAAATTGGTGAATAACTAGAGACCTATTGTATCAATATAGCTCGCTGTTTGTACACAATGCCGTCATTGAGATCGTCCTCCTATACAGTACTAGTACGGCAATAGATTGCTACAGCTCTTTGGGTCAAGACCGCTAGAATCAAAAAGCAAACACTGGGATGGCATCATAGTTCTGAAGTCAAGAAAACAAAAACTGGAATTCAAATTGTTTACATAATCCGATAATGATTTACGTGGCGCAGGTGACCACCCGGAACGGAACTCCGGAACAAAACACAATGCAAAAAATACTACATAACAGTGCAGAAAATATCAATTCTAAGTTTTGATGTTCGTTTTTGTCTTCTCGAAATGGATAACGCGGTGTTTTGTTACACAAAATATAGTAAGTTTATATTCGGTGTAATGACAAAAAAGGGCAGTTAACAATAAAACAACTACTGCTTTTCTATTAACAACTGCAACTTATATATCTAACCATGGCAAAAACATATTTTGCCACTTTATATATATCGTTTTAGGTACAGTTTGAAGTTATAAATTTCTCTGAATGCGACTTCCAAATATGATATCGTCAGGACACACTTAATTTGGAGAGCTGAAAAGAAGTTTTAGATAYTCAAAAGTGGTAACATTAAATGCTTCAAAAAGATAAATTTTAAGGTATATAAACAAGGGAAAGCTGTCGATCTAAGTGTTATTGAAATGAGATGAAAAAGATTATTGAATCGTTGTCATTCACGGGTAGCGAAAATGCATACCTCAAACCATCGAAGKAATTTCGACGATGTCTTGAGATGAGCTCATTTTCCACTTGGTAAATCATTCAGATCAAAAACATGGAAATCATACATCGTCAAGATTTTTTAATTAACAACAGTCTGCATGAGGCCATGCCAAGTTAGTTTATTTAGATAAACAAAGCTCTTTTCGCTTCATTTGCATAGCAAACATACATGGATTTATCGGCAAAACTGTCCTGCTCTATAAACCATCTTCAACCAATCCCATCTCAGTACTCTTGACCGTGTTTACATGATACAGTTCTACAGAAAATTGACTATTCAAAAGTCAAACAAACTTTGAATCCACAGACCAAATGTATCGTGCTTCTATGGCATAGTTATGGTTCAATAATGTCGATAACTTTCAAAAGTTAATCAAACTTTTACAAGACACTGTGTATGTGACAAGTAAGTGGTCAAAAGTACATGTATTGTGCTATTTAGGACTTCAAATTATCCAACGCAGGTAGATTCGCAAATATTAGTACCACTTAAAGTGTTCTGTTTTGGTTTTAGACTTCGTTAAGTTATGGATGGAAGTGTTTCTAAATTGAAAGCTAAACAAACCAACCTGAAGCTCCCCGGGAGTGAAGTCGAGGAGGGTTTCGAGGGATCCCTATCCGATCAAGAACTACAACAAATCAAGGAAGAATTGGGACTGATTGACTCTGACGTCCAGGCTAATCCCGGCTCATCGCTAGAAAACGGTSCTTACGTCAATAGTGATAGTGATACTAGCGAGCCTACTACCCCTTTTGATAGCCCCCTTACAGAAGATGAGAGGCGACTCTTAGATCAGTTTACATTCCGTACAAGCTCGTACCATCCTAGTCCTACAGCTTCTCGTTCAGCGTCCTTGGCCGAGGTAGCCGACTCTCTTATCAAAGATCTTGAAAATTTTGACTTTGGTCATCAAGAGGACAGTGACGAGGAATCAGAGAGTGAACTTGAGGATTCAGAGAAAAATGACAGCGACCTCGGCTCTTCTCCGTCCGTTACATCTGGTGTTGAAGGTTTAGAACGCCTAGTGGAACAGTTATCTCAAGAAAGCGGCGTCAAAAACATTCCAGTATCAAAACCATTGATGGAAAACGACCAATCCACTCCGCTTGCTGTACAAACTGATGACAACTCGTCGGTGAACTCAGACTCGTTTCCCGCATCTATAGATTCCGGTCTGCCGGCCATAGCAACGCACGCTCCTCATCGTTACTTCGTAGTGGTTGCTATAGACTTTGGCACCACGTTYAGTGGTTACGCATTTGCTTTTACAAGGGATTCCTCTGGTGCCATACATATGATGAGACGATGGGAGGGAGGGGACCCTGGGGTTTCTAATCAAAAGACACCGACTACTTTATTGTTGAGACCTGATGGAAGTTTTCACTCCTTTGGTTACGGTGCTCGGGACTTTTACCACGATCTAGAGCCCGATGAAGCCAAAAAGTGGCTGTTCTTTGAGAAATTCAAAATGGCACTTCATACAAAGAAGGTCAGTTACTTAAACATTATACAAGTATATCAAAAAACAAAAAAAAAAGCGTTAATATTGCATCGTTTTCCAATTAGTCAGCCAGTGCGTAAGGCAGTCAAACTAAGAGTAAGTCTGCAGTCCATTAAGTCAGTGGCAGTCTCTAACTAGGTCTCTAATAGGCAGATAAGACAATTGCTCTATTTCATTATGACGTCACAGTATTTTTACATCGGGAAAAGATATCTCAAAAACAGTGGACATTCGGGGACAGTTATCTTTTACTCAGAAGGTAGAACTCAATATATCGTCTTTTGATATATGTCATGCATCGAAGATGGCTCTTTAATCTTTAATCTTTAAATAAATTAATTGCCACTGGCGAGCTAATCCGGCAATGGGGCGGCCAGCGGTGGCTGGCGTAGAGAACAATGACAGGCAATGGTAACATAATGAATAACGAGTAGATAATTAATATAGACAAACAAATAAATATAATAAATGACTACAAGACGTCACGGCTCATGAAGATTTTTTTAATATGCACTCTGATACACTATGGTTACCATAATCCCTTAACGTTAAAACAATGTTATGTTCTGATATGACGTCATAATGAAATGATGCAATTGTCAAATCAATATGTAATGTTATGACAAAACAAGGAWTTTTTCATGGTTTCAGGATCTGAACAAATCCGTTGAACTCAAGGCAGCCAACGGAAAATCACTRAAAGCCGTGACGGTSTTTGCGCATGCTCTRAAATTCTTTAAAGACCACGTGATCGAGGAGCTGACCGACCAATCAGCGACAAAGATTCTCGAGGATGACATTCAGTGGGTGATCACTGTTCCAGCGATATGGAAAGCACAGGCAAAGCARTTCATGAGGACAGCGGCTTATGAGGTAAATAATATTMATCACGTGGTATTTGAGGTCATTTTTGTTTGATATTTTTTCACCTCAAGATTCCTTCTTTTTTTCATGATAGACAAAAAATAAATGYGWGCTATKTAAGTCTAAAYAWCAATAGGAATGACAAGTCGCAAACMGTTCGACGGTATTATTGTCTGAGTGTTTACTAGGTAGTAGATCAACAACATTTTAATGCTTTAATTTTTAGACAAATTTTTGTTATTAAATTTTTTTAAATACTTTGATTAAAAATATATATATATAAATAGAATAAAGCAAATAGGAGGCGCACTGCAACAATTGCATAAAACTGAAAGTAATATTGATTCCCACCGGAGTTGAGTCTGAAGTTGAAATAATATATTTTCTTCAACTTTTCGTCATCGTCTACACTCAAACKTATAATAAAGATGCAAATCATCGTCCAAGCTTGGAATCTGATTACATGCGCATGCAAAATGTTGCAGAGGAACAGAGTAAATAAACAACTCGAGTTAACAAGATTTAATTTTACTATGCAGGCATACAGTTTTCTTATAATAATTCACAATGTGCAAAAAAAGATTGGATGCATGATTTCCACGTTTWTAACGTTTTCTTGTAAGTCCGTTCAGTTATTTGTTTTTGCCAGGCTCATCTGCAAGTTCGCTGCATTTTTCAAAAGAGCTAGTTCCTTTACCTTTCTTGACAAAAACTACCACTGTGTCCTGTTTCTTCATATGGTGCAGTCTTTGTTTATTCAGTGCAAGTAATAATAACGTTTCTTCGATCGGTTTTAATGCAGAAGAATCTATGTCGATGCAGTTGTTTTCCAGTCACGATCTTGCGCTGGTGTCTTAAAATTCCCATGTCTTGTTGGGAAAGGGAAGTAAACTGGCAAAAACTTCCTCTCGATCGGCTTATCATCAAATAGCTTCTTAACAAGAAAAACATTGATTGATACAACGGAGAACGCTGTGAATCCAATGAATGCTTCAACGAAAACCATCTTCAGCTCTTTACACTTGAAAGCTATGAGTTCAAWTAGATTGCTCCTTACGTTCWCGAAGATAGTATGGATATGGGATAATTCCTCCGTTGCAGATGTTCTTAAGTAGAAAGGATTCAACTGCCAATGCTATCAGAACACTGCCAGCTGCAAATATCTCCACAAACATGTTATCTCGCTCACAGTTAAAGAACTTATGGGACAAAATATTGACCAAAAACGTTAAATGTTGAGGTTATCGCACGATAGATCGGGATTGATGGTTTGGAACAATGCCAATTCATCGACAAAAACAACCCTGTCTCCGTCTTCCAGAAATGTGCTATTGCACTTTTAGAGCAATGCTTATCATTTTTAACAAATCATATTAGCCATCAGTAAAGAATACTATGAATGTAACAGTGTGAGATTGAACATTTTATTTCTCAGTTTTACAATCAATTGAAATTATGTAGTGTTGATTGGTATTAAATTCTTCGTACATTATTTTCAACTTTATTGAAATGTTTTTCTCTCGATAAATCTCCTTTTTCTGAACGAAAAGTTCTTGAATCATTTGCGCATTTGAATACCAAATATAAGCTACAATCCGGTGAGTACTACTCAACTAGTAAATTATTCTATAGTGCGGATTCCGATATGAAATTATATTCTTTTCCAAGAAAAGATTGGTAATTTTTGCAACTTGGATACAGTCCCTTTCCAGTATTTTCAAGGTATTTCCTTTACAACGCCATGAATGTCACTAAAAGTTCTCTAAGAGTCCCTTGCTGAAATCTTGCAGCCTTTCTCACAGTCGGTAAGAACCGTGGCCATCTTGGTTAGCTCGGTAGACATCAGTATCTGCAGCCTTCTCTTTCTTGCAGAACAATCTTTTAATCATATAAACGTCTAATATCGTCACTAAAGCAATGGTTCCAAGTGCCAATAACTCAACCATCATTGCACTCCGTCATTTATCACAGTCCTTGAACGTTTGCTTTGAAAATTGGAGCTGTATTTCAAGTATTCGTGTTGAAGTAAGCTTGTTTACTTCACGGRACATCWATTATTGATGGTTTTTGCTGGTGGCCCAGAGGATTCGAGTATGATTTAAACGTCATTTTTAAAACTAATTTTAACTTTACAGAAAGCAACAGATTATTTCTCTAAAATGCAGCTAGCAAAACCAAAGAGAATATTTTGAATCCATTTTCAAGAGCAAAATTTGGCTTCAAGATATATATATTTCTTGTTTTTTGTTTATATTTCTTGTTTTCTGTATAGATAAGGTTGACTACTGCAGGGCGCTCGCGTTTTTCTCATTTCTAGGAATAAATAAAATCGCCAGAAAAACTGAATTGTTTTTTTTTTTTCTAGTTTAAATAAGTATATATACTTTGCCAATGTGATAATTGCAATTACTTCTGTTGGTACTTACACACTTGCAAAACTTGGCAAAAACAACATATTGATAAAACTATTGATGTCCAAGATGTGCGCGCGACCACGATGAGGAACTATATGTAAAGTGTAAAGTTCATGCCAAATAAACTCGATCAAATTCTCTTCAAAGAAAAAAAAAATGGATGAGATAATCTTGCTCTTGAAAATGTTTATTCTAACATGCGTTTGATGTGAATGTATAAGAATAATTTATCATGTCGACCGTACAATTACAACATTGATTCACACATATACAACTTAATAACACAATACTTTGGTTAACTATCAGTTCTGTAAGTCCAGTGTTGGTAGTTTTTAAACCAGTCATTTTGAGAGTTCAACATTCACCGTACTGGGAAGTAGGAGTTTGAGTATGGAATCAGGACCCTGTTGTGTTTCTTATCTCGCTGYGCATTCGTCTTGTCTTCGCATAACTTGTTCAAGAGATAAATGTCGACCATCGTCAGACCAGTKACGAGAGCTCCAAGGAGAAACATTTCCARTACAGGCATGGTTGCTGCATTCAAAACCAGTCTTATGCAATTTAGCACTTTTCCTGCGACGGAAAATAAGTTGTTAACCGATGCAATTGAGCAGTTAAGAACTTTTTACGATGTTGGAAAGCTCACATGAGGGTATCTTAGTGCGCATGTGCAGACATTCGCAATGTTTTTTCGCACACATGACATGAAATATGGATAAGCCTGCGTGACAAAGTGCATGAAAATCATTATATATAGATAATCGCTAAAGTATAAAATAATATCAAACATTATTAATTTTACTGCTACTTTTCCTATAATCTTTGGCTAACTGGATAAAATGCTCTAATAATATGATATTTATAGTAGAATTACTTTAAACAGGGATTCAATACGAGTTTACGTTCCGTACGTCAAAGGCGCGCAGATGCAGTAATTTTGTAGAGGGGAGGGATTAGGCGGGATTGGGGAGGGAGTGGACCTAGGGGCGCTATATAGACTCTCCAGTCTGTCTGAGCTATGCTTCTATTATTGCTTATACGTTGTTTCATAAATTTTAATGAAGAAATACGGTACAAGAATAGCATGTTTGATTTGCTTTTTTATGATACGAATTATGTGAAGTTTCACGAAAAAAAATGGTGATGACTCAGGGGGGAGGGGAAGGAGGCACCCTGTACTTACATGAGCAATGTATAACTGTGTGTGTATGTCTATTTTCTACAGAACCCTTTCTCTGCGAGTGCATCATTATTATTAATACTATTACAATCAATAGTATTATTAATCTAAAGCAAACTAAACACACTACAATAAAAACACTACAAATTGTTTTACGTATTTAGTAATGGGAGTTTCCATAGCAACGATATCGTTATGCAAACTTATCAAAGGGTTTTTTTCCCTATCTTCTGAAATCAGTAGTGCGTATTCATAATTGTAGCAAAGTTAGCAATGTACAAAATCTCAACAACGGGACATTGTTCGATCCTAATCAATTTTGTAAACAGAAGCTTATTTTAGGACACTACGTTTATTACACTGAAAATAGCCGAGCTTGCAATTTTTCATCATGATTGCTGAATTTGTAAATATTTTCCACTAAATTGTCATAAATCCTTCAAACAAACCGGTACTTACCTTTATTCCATTTTTGTTCTTCTTTGCCAAGTTCTTCGAGCACTTACGCTACAGCATAAACCATATTTCCAATGAATGCCAAAAACGACAGCTCCTGATAACATTAGTATCAAAAAATACACGACCTCGACCGCCATCTTGCTYGCATTGGAAACCTTTTGGATTATTAATCTTACTAAGTGAATTGAATAATGATTTATTAGAGTTTTTTTGTTAAAAAAAGAGAGAAGATACTTGGATGTTTACTGAATATCTTGTGGGTAATGTGCAGGTAGTGTCAGTCACTTATGTAAATATCCGCTTTGTTATTTGGAAGTAGGCCTGACTATTTGTACCACTAATTCTTTTAAATACATAGAAAAATTTAAAGACTAGATTTATGGATATTGATTTTTGTCGGAAAATATCCAAAAGATAATACTTTTATGATGTAAAAATACGTATTTTTCTGCTCCTTAAAATGATTTTCAAAAGTGTTTATTTTTTCTACTTCTACTTATAAATGGTAATTATATTTAGCTTGATGCTTGAAAAGTACCTAAAAAGTTTATTGTGTAAATCTAGAGGGTTTTCAGATGATATACGACCAACTTTCTTAACTCTTAGAGCACTCATAATTTAGAATTTCAGAAAATCACGGTGAATTAAAAACAACTTTATCTATAGCACCCAAACATTTATTTTGATGGTTGAGACATGGCGCCCAATCCACCAGWGAAAGTCTGCACGCACACCCTTCTACTGTATGCTGCTAACTTTTGCCTTATTTTTGCCTTTTCTCAAATGCGCCTTCATGCACTCACAGGCAAATGACCTTATTTTGAAGTATACAGTTCTTTTTCAGAAGTGAACACAAAGCATAGTTGTATGTACATTTTTATATGTTGATTTAATTAAACTCCGTGACCATCAAATCATCAAATTAATATGCTTTGATTTTTCTCTCAAAGGCAGGCTTAGCCACTCCAGATGATGCAGATCGTATCTTGATTGCTCTMGAGCCAGAAGCAGCTTCGATATTCTGTCGAAAACTAAAAATGAGAGATTGTCTTTGGGCYGACGAGAAACGGTCAGCGGTAGAAAGCAGTGTAGCAGAAAGTTTCCAAGGTAACACAAACTGAAATGGTTGTTATATTTCTAGTGAGTGGCTATAGCCAAGCTCAATAAAGAAAGTAAAAAAGAGGCTCTATGGAAATTATTGATAAGCGCTATTTTCCTTCGGGGTCTCTTAATCAATCTTTTGTGGCCCTAACGGAGCATTCAACCACCATATCAGAAGTGAGCTATTGACATTTTTTGATAATTTCCATTGATTGAGTGAAATGCTATGAAATAGGCATAACATGTGCTAGTATTAATAAGGTCCGTACGTTTCATTTTTACTCTCTATTTGCAGAAAAGACGAGGTATCTAGTGGTGGACTGTGGGGGAGGTACTGTAGATTTGACTGTGCACGAGCTTGACCTTAAAGCAGGCACACTAGAGGAGCTTCATAAGGGAACAGGRGGAGCGTGTGGTGGTACAGGCGTCGATGAAGAATTTGAAACCCTACTGAAAAAGATATTTGGTAAAGACTTCATTGATCAATTCAAAGCCAAGCGACCGGCAGGATGGGTGGACATGATGATCGCATTTGAAGCTAAAAAGCGAACTGCAAGCCCAACCAAGACCAATCCCCTTAACATCTCACTACCTTTTGTATTCATTGACTATTAYAAGAAGCACAAAAACTCCTCAATTGAAGCAACCGTGAAAAAGTTTAATAATCCTAGTATAAGGTGGAGCTCACAGGGGTTACTTAGAATTAGCCCTGAMGTCATGAAGGAACTCTTTGCGCCTGTTGTTAAGCAAGTCATACAGCATATCCGTGTGTTGCTAAGCACTCGGTCCGTTTATGACGTCACGCATATGTTCCTCGTTGGGGGCTTCGCMGAATCTCCCATGCTGCAGTCCGCTGTACGAGATGCTTTCGGTTCRCAAATGCAAATCATCATCCCTCATGAYGTMAGTCTAACGATTCTCAAAGGTGCGGTTATGTTCGGTTTGGATCCGACGGTAATYCGAGTAMGACGTGCTACAATGACCTATGGTGTCGGTGTCCTCAATCGATACATCTCCGGAAAACATCCGAAGTCTAAGCTCGTGAAGAAAAGTGGTATCGAATGGTGTACGGACATCTTCGACAAGTTCGTCATTGCTGATCAAGCWGTWAAACTCGGTGATAAAGTCTCGCGGAGTTACGCACCAGCAAAACCAGGACAAAACTACACAGTTATCACTATATACAGCTCACAGGAAGAACACGTTGCGTATGTAACAGACTCAGGTGTAAAGAAATGTGGTCAGTTAAAGATCGAGCTCCCTGATATCGATAAACGTGATGGTAGTAAACCAAGAGAGATTCAGGCYAGCATGGAGTTTGGGGACACTGAGATACGAGTCAATGCTATTGATGTATTATCTGGTCTTGAGGCTAAAGCTACAATAGACTTTTTAAACAATTAGCAACATTGTGTCATTCATGAGAAATGGTCAATCTGARACTGATCGGGTTTGCACGAGTATATTTACTAAAAATATAACAAAACAGAACGCGCGCGCCCTTGATACAATAATATTGATTTTGGTAAATTTTGCTTACGGGTACAAATATATATTCCCTTCCAGAGGTTTGAWATTTTCTCTCTTCGCTATTGTTTTTTGTCGGCGCGAAGCGCCGTAACCTGCTCGGCCTTACGGCCGCGATTATGGCGCTTCGCGCCGACAAAAACAATAGCGAAGAGAGAARATATCAAACCTCTGGGACCAGGGTATATAATCATATACTTTTACTTGCTAAAAACATCGATCTGGGATCACATTGTTCTTTGGCCAATCACGACATTTTATTGTCTATTGTCGACCCAATTTATCGATTATATGTTGTCCCAAATACTAAGATCATTTTTAAAAACAAATTAATTCCACCCTATAAAATAACTGCACGAAATGAACAAAGGGCTACATTAGTATGTGATAGGAATTAATCAGCATCCTTTTGTTTATGTTTTGAAAATAAAATCAATGAAAAATTAATCAATGAGCAAAATAAACTAACAAATTAAAAAAAATATTCCTTTACTGTCTATGAGTAATATTCGCGGTAAAGCTGATGAAGTCATTTCATTTCAATATTTCAAATCGTCTAATTAATCCCACAAAATAGGCTCGATCATGGAATCCGTGTGATTCCTGCGGAATGACTGGMATGTTCTTGCCATAAATACATTAACCAGGCGGCGATTCACAGGGCTAAGGAACCTGTTGTGATGRTTGATCATTCCTCCCAAGGCCCGTTTACACTTGCRATTTTTGAAGCGYGATTGTCGCGCGRCAATCGCCTGAGTTTCAAACATRCTTGAAATTTAGCTGCAACCCGGAGCGATTTTCAATCGCCGCAACAATCGCAGGGCTGWTTACACGTACAATTTGAGAWGGGCGAGAACAAAGTGGCAAATGTTGCGCGACAATCGCGCTGCAAAAATCGCAAGTGTAAACAGTCCTTAAATTAGGGGTCTGATGTGGGGCGCCCTGTTTCCCTGCCCACAATAAACATATTCGTCTGTAAATTGCGTTTTTTATCCACGACATGGTCTCCTTAGAGCCTTAATTTAGCTGTAGTCAAAGACTTCTTTCTATAACTATTGACTTATAATTATAAACTCATGATAAATTCTTGAACGTTTTCCTCGATATTATATTATCTGCAGGCAAGAACAACAGCTAGTATCTGCCTGTTCTGTAAACCGCTAAAGTTAAGAAATTCAAGAGATCTTTGCCTTCAGTTACATACTAGTAATATCTGTCTGATATAAGAACTGTACKYCTTTTCCTGTGATGATTTGGAAAACAACAGCAACAATTGAACAGCTCRGCGAAGGCCGTCACATTCCATCGAGTACATCGGTATCCGTCCGCAAATCAGCACTCAGCACTCATCCCCACCCCCATCAAATAATGAATCGACTGAAGAATATATGATTATGTAAACCCTGTACCGTTTGCTAATTCCTGAGCTGAGCTCTGATTGGCTCTTTGATCCCTAAGGATTTTGGTGACGTCATATATTAGCATGGAACTTCACCGAATAGACTACCCCCATTAGATATCAAATATCTATAAGTGTCTTCATAGTACGATGGTCTAAGAGGGTAGCTAAAGGTATGCTCTAGTGGGCGGCTACCCCCTCACTCCCTGGCCTTTTGGTTAAGACTAAGTTTTATGTTCACTCGGGATAGCGTGGAAGAGCCGAAATCTCTAACCGTAACGTAAGCCGATTCGACGCCTCAGCTTCATAGAATGTCTCGGGGGAATCGTCCCATCTTTTTAGTTTTTTTATTTTCATTATTTCTTATGTATTCAGGGGG